TCTTAGGACCATTTTTATCACCTAGTTATTTTGCTTTTGATTGATATTCTATATCAGGGTTTCCCCCAAAACCGTTTTCAATCTTTTTTTTAATGGACATAAAAGACCAGGAAATCAGCTCAAAGTAATTTTAATTTAAGAAATCTGTTCAAGTATCCCCACGCAAAAATAGACTGGCTTATGTGATCGTATCCCAATGTAATCAAGGTTGGAAATTATTCTGTTTTAGTCTGTTTGGGATTCTTGCGGTTAATTTACATGTTCTGGACCCCCGACCAACCGCTCAAGGAAAAATTGGCTCAGGGCTGAATGAAATTGGGGACCCCTGTTCTATATTGTCATACAGAGTATGATTGTGATAATTTGAGTATATTATAACACTAATTGAATATCTGCTAACAAACTGCTTATATACATTATTAGACACATACTGGTCTGACTAACCTACATATCCTCTTAATAATGCATGTAATAACACCTCAAAAACCATTATAATATTTTCTCCATTTATGCAAAGAGAGAGAGAGAGAGAAAGTCAGTTTGATTGTTGTTAGGAAATGTAGAATATCTGTCATGGCAAATTCACAGACTCTTTGCAATACCATCTGCATAACAATGCAATACGAGGCAGAAATTAAATTAATCTACAATGATGGTATGTTTGTATATGGGTTTGTTGAAATGGTTTTTAAGAGATGACAACATATAGGAATTGAAAGTGTTCACCAGCTGACAAAACACAGCTGGAAAATAAATGAATTAAATAAAAACAGAATACAACAGGTGATCACATGCATAACAAAAATGTCAGGAGTAAGTTCAAACAAACACCAAGCAAAGAACACAGGAAGTGTTTTTATAAGAGAAAAGCCAAATTAAAAAACAGCAGTGTGACTAGGCTGCAGATTGGATAAATGAATTATATTAATTTCATTGTGATATACATTACAAAATGCATTGCAGCCAACGATGAATAGGCCTATTGTTGACATCACAATTATATATTTTCTATATGTTGCTTCTAATGTTTTATCATGGCCTCTGATGACTAATGTCATTGAGTAAACCTTCACATGTAATATCTCACTCTCTGACAACATACTCCAACAACCTGTCCCTGATATGCCTGAGCAATACAGTGTGCTGTGCATTGTGCGAGGTCTGGCTTGGCCTGGCACTATATACAGTAAACCCATACATTGACCTATATGGAGAGAGAGGAAGAGAGGGCACACATGTGCAGGCAGGAGAACGGTGAAGTAACAGGGAAATAGAAGGGTGTGATACTGGATACCCATTGGTTGAATGTGAGGAATTTATGGAAAACCTATACAGAGGTCACGTGATCCTCAGCGTCTGGCAGGAACGAGGGGGCTGAAGAGAGGGAGACAGGATAAGCAGAGAACACCAGAACTCACAAGGGTGTGGCAAGCAGACACACATAGCGAAGCTAACTAAAACAGTGGTGTAGTAGTCCCTTTTGATTAAGACCCCTGGTTACAAATATATTTATATCTCAACCACATCGTAGACCACAAGCTGAACTCATGTAAGACAAGAAGTGAAGACACCTCCTTAACAATGTGATTTGCAGGAAGAAGCCTGTTCCCCCTCCTCCTTGCCATCTTGCCCTGGGGTGGCCTCTGCTGTAGAGCCCTGCTTCCAGGAAAAGGGGCCCAGAAGGCAAACTGTGATGCCTGGGCATAGCGAAACAGGGGGACAGAGAGAGGGAATGAGAGAGAGAATGTGAGAGTGAGAAGGACAGAGAACGAGAGACGGCCCACAGAGAGGTGTAGTAAAAAGAGGTGATGAAACGAGAAGCAAACATGCCCAAATGGAGAGATTGAGGGAGACAGAAGAAAGGGAAAGGGGAAAGGGGGATACCTAGTCAGTTGTACAACTGAATGCATTAAACTGAAATGTGTCTTCCTCTTTTAACCCAACCCCTCTTAATCAGAGAGGTGCGTGGGAGAGAAGGAAAGAAAATGCGAGAAAACCCTCCCATTTTACATACAGTTGAAGTCGGAAGTTTACATACACTTAGGTTGGAGTCATTAAAACTCGTTTTTCAACCACTCCACAAATTTCTTGTTAACAAACTATAGTTTTGACAAGTCGGTTAGGACATCTACTTTGTGCATGACACAAGTAATTTTTGAAAACAATTGTTTACAGACAGATTATTTCACTTATAATTCACTGTATCACAATTCCAGTGGGTCAGAAGTTTACATACACTAAGTTGACTGTGCCTTTAAACAGCTTGGAAAATTCCAGAAAATGATGTCATGGCTTTAGAAGCTTCTGATAGGCTAATTGACATCATTTGAGTCAATTGGAGGTGTACCTGTGGATGTATTTCAAGGCCTACCTTCAACCTCAGTGCCTCTTTGCTTGACATCATGGGAAAATCAAAAGAAATCAGCCAAGACCTCAGAAAAATAATTGTAGACCTCCACAAGTCTGGTTCATCCTTGGGAGCAATTTCCAAATGCCTGAAGGTACCACGTTAATCTGTACAAACAATAGTACGCAAGTATAAACCCCATGGGACCACGCAGCCGTTATAGCGCTCAGGAAGGAGACGTGTTGTGTCTCCTAGAGATGAACGTACTTTGGTGCGAAAAGTGCAAATCAATCCCAGAACAACAGCAAAGGACCTTGTGAGGATGCTGGCGGAAACAGGTGCAAAAGTATCTATATCCACAGTAAAACGAGTCCTATATCGACATAACCTGAAAGGCCGCTCAGCAAGGAAGAAGTCACTGCTCCAAAACCACCATAAAAAGCCAGACTACGGTTTGCAACTGCACATGGGGACAAATATCATACTTTTTGGAGAAATGTCCTCTGGTCTGATGAAACAAAAATAGAACTGTTTGGCCATAATGACCATCGTTATGTTTGGAGGAAAAAGGGGGTCGCTTGCAAGCCGAAGAACACCATCCCAACCGTGAAGCATGGGGGTGGCAGCATCATGCTGTGGGGGTGCTTTGCTGCAGGAGGGACTGGTGCACTTCACAAAATAGATGGCATCATGAGGAAGGAAAATTATGTGGATATATTGAAGCAACATCTCAAGACATCAGTCAGGAAGTTAATGGGTCTTCCAAATGGACAATGACCCCAAGCATACTTCCAAAAATGTGGCAAAATGGCTTAAGGACAACAAAGTCAAGGTATTGGAGTGGCCATCACAAAGCCCTGATCTCAATCCTATAGAAAATGTGTGGGCAGAACTGAAAAAGCGTGTGCGAGCAAGGAGGCCTACAAACCTGACTCAGTTACACCAGCTCTGTCAGGAGGAATGGGCCAAAATTCACCCAACTTATTGTGGGAAGCTTGTGGAAGGCTACCTGAAACGTTTGACCCAAGTTAAACAATTTAAAGGAAATGCTACTAAATACTAATTGAGTGTATGTAAACTTCTGACCCACTTGGAATGTGATGAAAGAAAGAAAAGCTGAAATAAATAATTTTTTCTACTATTATTCTGACATTTCACATTCTTAAAATAAAGTGGTGATCCTAACTGACCTAAAACAGGGAATTTTTACTAGGATTAAATGTCAGGAAAAAACTGAGTTTAAATGTATTTGGCTAAGGTGTATGTAAACTTCCGACTTCAACTGTAACTCCCAAAACAATCTCACTGCAGACTGCTCACTTTGGGAAAATAAGGTATTTCACGGAGACAAACCCTTGGTAGAGTAACACCAGTTGGCCTGCCTGTAAAATGGCATAGATGTTTGAGGAAGAATGTAAAAAATTATGAATGTAGAAATGATGTATGTGCAGATACTTTCATTATTTGTAAGGATGTCATCATGACAGAATTGAATAATTTGGAGTGCAATACATTTAACTGCAACAACAGCAATGAAGCAACAAAAAACAGTGGCAAGTATTATAAATAACCGAGGCAAATATCCTCTCTGGTTGACACAAGGAGGAGGCCTTTTGGTAGGCCATCATTGTAAATACGAATTTGTTCTTAACTGACTTGCCTAGTTAAAGGTTAAATAAAAAAACAAAAAACTTGCTGACTGATCAATCATCACCTTTTATTCATTTTAAATAAACAAATTAATAGCTTCCAAAAATCACTGTAACCTACCTACATATCAAATCGAATGTTGAAAAAAATATACAAATATTCGATAGTTTGTCCTTATGCACGTTTTTACGGTGTATTACGGTACACTAACGTTACCGCAGTTTTTCTATCGCGATAGGAATATTGCGTGATACGGAAACGAGAACCCGGTAAATTGACTTGACTGTCTTTGCATGACTTCAGAGGTTGAAACAGAGAGCATACGGAGCTTCTTCAGCATTTAACGGGATCTTACGACAGAACGAATGTAAGTTATTAAACTATAGTATAAAGCTCACTCGAATGGCTGTGTAATAATTTGTACTATCACTGTAAATGCTGCTCCATCTTAGCTTTCTAGATGATGACCGTCTTCTGCGATTCTGTCCTTGTCTGGGATACTAGCGAGCTAGTAACGTTAGGTGACAATCTAAAGTCACGAGGACAAATAACTTGCTATGAAAACATACATTAACACAAAACAGTGACTGTAAATGATTGTCAAACACCTTAGTTTAAAATGCCACATCAAGAAACCGGGCAGAAGTGCGAACTCTGGGCCCATCCCTCTAGTCTACTGTGCTGTAGTAAGTTTAATAGGAAACTCAAATTTATAAGTTCAAGGCATGTTCCTGCTTTGTGTCACGTAGCTAAGTATGTTGTAAAGGGAAATGAGTTATAAGCAATGCATCTGGAATATAAATGATTGATTAAATTTGTATCTTTGCAATGGAGGATACATTATATTTTACCAACAGTAGTGTGTATGACATACAGTAACTAAATCAAATCAAATGTATTGGTCACATACACATGGTTAGCAGATGTTATTGCTAGTGTAGCGAAATGCCTACTGTAGTTAGAAGGATACAAGTTGGACTGTGTGTTATTGGTCCATCAAGCCAGTTCTCTTTCTGCCTCTCTCCTCCCAGCAGTCACCATGTCCTCCAACAAAAATGTGTCAACATATGATGATGAGAATGAATCAAAATTTATGAGGAAAGCAAAGGAGTCTCCCTTTGTCCCAATAGGTAAGTGAAGCTGTACAAAAACTATTTTTTTTACATGAGCATCAATTATGTTGGTGGTTTCACCACAGTGGATGTTTTCCATAGTGCATGTTTGATTGAATCACAGTCAGTCATAAATTGTAATCCACTTTTCCAACCCTGGTTCTAAGGTTAGATATCATACACCCAGACCCAGTCATCATTGCATTTCCCATGTGTTTTTTTTACAGGCATGGCAGGATGCGCTGCAGTGGTCGCCTTTGGTCTGTGGAGGCTCAAGTCGCGGGGAGACACAAAGATGTCCGTCCACCTCATCCACATGCGTGTTGGAGCTCAAGGCTTTATAGTAGGAGCAATGACATTAGGTAGGTCCTAATCCAATATGTGCTGTATAACAGATACACAGGCCCAACAGCTAATATCTCTTAATCAATTTACAAGGGCAACATGTATCACACAAGACAGTGACCGTGTTGTGCCCTTACACACGTACCACTAACAGAAAATGAAACACTAACATGACTGTAATGTTTGTCTATTTGTAGGGGTGATCTACTCTATGTACAAAGAATACCTTGCCCCGAAGGACCCAGGTAAAGACAGCAAGTGAGCCTACCAGCCAATTAGCAAGTGACATGACCAGAAAACGCTCCATGCCTGCCATTCCTGCATTCTACCCTTGGAAATAGAAGTAATAGAATGGATTATATCTGTCAAAATAACATTCCATTGATGATGTCATTTATTTTGGGTGAGGGCGTGACTTAAGCTTAGCAGCATTTCAATCTGGCAATCACTTTGAAGAAGGTTAATACATTTGAGGAAGTCAAGTGGCACATTCATTCTGTGTATTCTGTTTCTAACATTACCTCTTTGCTAGACACCTGCTGTAAACCACCAGTAAAATGCCACCTTGAAGGCGACCCAACACACCCATAAACTCCTATAGCCAATCCACTCATTGACCATTGTCAACCTCACCATGAAGGGTTATTGTTATTATTTAATAAATAATATTGGTTATTTTCTAACATTTACTTTGAAATGTGAGGTAAATTTTTATTTCACAAACAGGTACAGAAGTAGGTAAAAGGTTATTTTCAACCAACTAGCCGCACACTACTAACTATTCTAAGGGTGGATCGAAATTGACAGAATGGTTACCTGGAGGAAAATGGGGGAGGGTTATGCTTTTTCAATTTCAGTCAAGGGGAGAGTTTAGTATTTTTTTAATTGAATCTATTCCAGGGGAGGGTCGTGTAATTTGTAATTGATGAAATTTCAATATTTTTCAGTGTTTTAGAATTTGTTGCTTATTAGGCTATATATCGATGTGCCAGGGTGTGCAATATCAAGTGCGCCTATACGCTATTTAGTGTGGTGACAATCAAATGATCCATAGCCTATAACCTATAGGCTACGAAGTGCATGCTAGGAGAAGCAAAGAGCAAAGTTACATTTCTAAGATAGCTGCTGGGATGTTCTAAATACAACTAGGCTGCATTACACACTGCAATAGATATTCCAACCCTGAGCCCTGGCCTGCTATTGCTGATCAAAAACTGTGTGCTGCCTAACCAATGGCTGTGCTGTGTAGGTCTACAGTGGCAGTTTAGGAGGAGAGTCAAAGGCTTCTTCCAAAAATAATTTTTGATTAGGCCTAGTCCAAAAAATGCACTCATGCATACAGACTAGCCAGACTGTTCTGTTCAGTTTGAGAAGGAGAGTGCAAAGATGAGGACCGGAGGTCAACTTTGATAGCTTGCTACTACTATAATTGATTTCAGTAAAAACTATGTTTCTTGCCCATTATATATTTATCAGAGTTATTCACCTCACAATAAGCCAGATTCGAATAACTTACATTGTGGCGCTGAAACTTGAAGCAACAGCCGCGGTAAAATCAATAGGAAATGGACAGCACATGGTGGTGGAAGTAGGCAAATTCGAGTAGGCATAATTCATTTAAAGGTCTTAATTTTAATTACACTTTACTAACAACAAGAGGGATTTGTGTTGGAGCCTATTTCTTCCTATTTAAGAAATAAGAGGTAGGCCTACCTTTTTGACAGACAGAATTAGGCTAAAGGCTGCTATATCCATAGATTTGTTCGTCAATTCCTCCACCCACCATGCAGTCTTTAAATAACAGCCCTTCACTGTCACTGAGGTAGGCTAAATTAAAACCAAGACTCGAATTTAGGGGTAATGAGAGGGTATGCCATAGGCCTACCTTTTATTAATGAAAATTGCAAAAAGCACAGGCATACCCCTTGTTAGCTTAAGATTTTGAAGTAAATAAAACTGATAAGATTATATAAAGTGATCTATTAACAGCGCTTTGGTCTGCGATGCTTTATGCCGTAAAATACCCGGGAAAGACGCGAGTCCGATGCATATGTGAATATCATTGTCTTGTTTATTTCACATTCAAAGACTGAGCTACAACCTTCTATAGCCGAGGAGACAAAAAATTGACTTTGTTTTGGGAAGTAATCTAATTCTGTTACTATCAATAGATTTAAGTTATTCACTTTCTGTACAATAGAAGATGTTTAAACCCAGACAGCTTTTAGGGAAATGTCATGTGAATTTCTATCTCTAATTCAACCTAAGCTTGAATCATTACCAGAGGTTGTAAGGCTCTGGTTTTAATCATCAATGATTCAAGGTCCATAACCACGAAGAAGGATTTTTTGTATGTTTATTCATGGAGAGCTCTGGCGCCAAACACACAAACATACGATTTTATACCTCCTGAACTTGACTCCTCCCACCTTTGTCTTTATCTAAACAGTTTCCGCCTTCCCCTTCACCCTTGAATGTTTAGTACCGCCCCCTCTGTTAGTGGGTTGACACTACATGATAATTCTAACATTTATACTGTATTTGGGGTGAAATCCTTTAGTCATTATTCTTAAAATCCAAATTAATCTAACAATCCACCCCTTTGACTAAATATTCCCACATTCAGGATAAATGTATTTTACAAGCATGATTAATCTCAGAGATCACATCAGAACTAATAAACATTTCATCCAATTGCGGTCTTTCAGGGTCCAAATCCTCGTCATCCACCAAGCCTGGAGGATAGTTTTTCACATTCCCCTGGTCAGAGTCCGGAGTCAGTCCATCTCTCATCATTGTTTAGATACTGCATTTCACCAACGCCTGATTCACCAATCCTCGGACACAGGGAACAAGACAACAACCACATAATACAAGAATACCCATACAAACACTGACCGCTCCTAAGATGGTGGCTGCTAGGGTTTTCCATTTACCAAATATTTCATCAAACCACCCTAACTTCTGAGTTCAGTTCATCCTTCACTTAGTGCAGTTAATTCTGTAAGAGCTCTGGTGACTGTCCCATCCAGTGTGGTGTTGTTAGGGATAAATGTGCAACAATGGCTTATCTTTCTATAGACACCGGCCCTTTCTGCCTGATCTAGAACCAACCTCTACTAAGTTATGAGCGGGATGGCGGATAATCGCTCAGAGATCCCCTTTACTGCATCTCTAGTCTGGTCAATAAATCGTTGTTGGTTGTAATAGATATAATTTATCCAATCCATATTTTTGTTTGTCACCCACCAGAAAAATGTTGTAGTAAAACTCTCCCATATTTGATTCATAGCTTTGTATTTGTCTGGAACACCCCTGGGGATGCATATACCATCTATCCAAATTGGGCTATTTCCTTCCTGACTTATTTCTTTTTCTCCTAATTATTCTTCCTGTCACTGGTCTTTGATGACCAATTCTTACAGGTTGGACCAACAATACTGGTGCACAAGTACCCACCCATCCCTCTGGTAATGTCTGCCGAATGCTCCCTTTGTTAGTGCATGCCCACCACACATCAGTCTGAGGGATGGTTCGGCTCCTAATTTTCTTCCTCCCTTCCTTATCTAAATCAGTCACATTAATTATCTCCTTACAGCCATCAAAATCACCCAAGTTACAGGTGCCATTTCTATGTATGTAACACTGGTATTCACCAGGAGTTAAAGTGAATCTAGGTGGGCTGGCCCAGTATGTCAATTTTGCCAGCCCAATCCCTGTGCAATTTGGCTCTTTTTGATTGGTCCCCAGGTCTAATACACAAGGAAACATTGCCTTTGGCATTGGGGCGGTCAACATTGTCTGTCGCCCAATGGAGCATGCATAACAATTGGTCTCCCCCAAGGCCCTAGCGGTGTATTTCATCCACTTTAACCAGAGATTCTCATCAGGGACCCCCTCCACTTCCCCTTGGTTCCATTCTTGGAGGAGAAAATCTTTCATAGTGGACGGGTTAGTCGAATTGACTCCGTCATCCCTTGACTGATCTACTCGGGCTATTGCTGTTAGTGGATTAATGACAGTACCTGTGCTTTCCTTAGACAAGTATCCCATCCGTATTTGTCCGCGCAAGCCCAGTAAGTTGAATCTTACTCCCCACCCTTCTCTGACTCCTATTTTGTAGATCACTCGCCCTTGACGGTCAGTATGTCGGGTCGCTTCCCTTTTATTTCTTAATAATGGTAAGGCCATAGCGTAATTGGTGCGAGGTGGTGGTGGATCTTGACATACCACGACTATTGTCGAGACTATGATGCAGCTCAGAGTCACCCATATTCCCCAAAACCGCCAACCCTCTCCTGTCTTGAGTCCTTCTGCTCGGTACCACCCCATACTCACACCCTAGGAACACACTACAGTGATGATAGGTCTGGGTAGGAGATCTTCGTTGACAGAGGTGACCCTGTGGCCCAGTTCTGCTCTTCAACTCTGCGTGGTGCTTGTATGTGGTCTTACCTTCTTGCAGTGGGTAACATGGACCCAGGTTCCTCTCTCTGCTATTCTAATGGCCAAGGCGGTGACCAACATAACCTGATAGGGCCCTTCCCAACAGGCCTGCTTCCAGTTTATCTTCTAGTGACTGGATGCTCACCAGTCACCTGGTTAGATAGTGGGTCACCTTCTCCTTTAGTTCACCTGTGGGGCACAAAACCTCTGACATACGGGTGTGGTTAATAAACTATCTTCACATATGTTCAGATTAATGTAACAATTTCTGACTGCATTCTCTTTTTAGACTGTATCTAAAAAAATGTTTTTTTTAAAAAGTATTTTGTCCTCTCCTTCGTTTGTCCTCTCCTTCGTATATTATTTAATCCTACAATTAGCCTCTTCCCCCCTCTTGACACATAGTTCTGCTTATGTGTCAATTTTTACCACCTTCCTAAACATTCTCTTAGGAAATTTATCAACCAATTGCCATGCCTTTCATTTTTGAGATTGTCTTTTGCTTCTTTATTGCTCCTCCCACTTCCTTTGTCTTTATGGCGGCTAAATTCGACTTTCATTCAGTTCAGAATCAATTAGTAATCCAATCAAACAATCTCTTATCTTGTAAAAACACTTATGTTTAGTTCAAACTCTGTTCTACTCCGGCTCTCCCGGGCTTGACCTGAAGACTGATTGTTGGACATGACAAGTCCATATTTAGGTCACCTAAGTGTTCTGCCTAGCAACAAAGAATAAAAACCTCTATGTTCGTGATTAACCCAGTTATCTCTAATAGCCCACCAAAAAAAAACCCCATAATCTTTAAATCACGAC